AAATGTGGAGAATGTGACAGATTAGAGACCTGTTTTGGAAACAGAGGTGACTGGTTTTGCTGATGGGATTAGATGTGTAGTAGGTGAACAGGGTGCCTGGCTGGCTCAGTCAGTACAGTATGCGACTCTTGATCTTGGGATTGTGAGTTCAAGCCCCATGTTGGACATAGAGCGGCTATCTAGATGTGTGGGTGAATGAACAGAAAGATCACATTTCTGGCTTGAGCAACTGGTTGATGAGGAAGATGGGATATTAGGGAGAATGACAGGTTTAGGCAGGAAAATCAAGAGTATGGTTTGGAGCATGGGTTTGAAATGCTTCTAAATTCTCTCTGGATGGAGATGTCAAGTAGGGGGCTGGATCTAAGGCGTGTGGAGTCAGAGGAGAGACTGGGCTGGAAAGGGCACTTAGAGGGCGCAGCACATTTACTGGACTCACAGTCAAGGAGATAGGTGTGGGGAGGGATCCAGGGAACCAGGAAAGCTCCGAGGAGCCTTCAAAGGCAACTGAAAAGCAGCAGCCAGGGAGGGAGAAAGGAAAACTTGGTGTTGTGTCCAGACAAGGGGGCAGGGTATGTGGGTCAGCAGTGTAGAATGACACGAGGTACCAGACCAAGATTAGGACAGAAAAGGGGCTGCTGGATTTGCCTCCTTGGAGGTCATGAGTGACCTTGATTAGAGTGGTTCCCGATGAGAATGGGGAAAGGCTAGGAACCAGAGTGGTAGGAGCTGAAGGGGTGAATGCCAGGTAAAGAAGTTAGACAATTCCGCCACGAACAGGTATTGAAAAATTGGAAATATTTTAAGAGGGGTGTGGGATCAAGGTTTTTGGTTTTGTTCGTCTGTTTTTTAAAGGATGTAAGAAGACAGTTCAGGGAGGCAGGCTAAGCCACTCTGAGGGCCCTTTCAAGACACCCCCACCCCCCTCCGACCTTGACAGCTCTCTCCACGTGGATCCTGGCGTTTCTGAGCCGGCCCATGTGGTGAGATGGCTTGGAGAATCCTCGCCAGAGGACAAGGGAACCTGCAGAAAGATGCAGCGTAGGGATGGGGCAGGCTGAAGGCTCAGCCTAGCGTCTCTCCCGGCCTCCGATGCCCACACTCCTTTCTCCACCCTTCATCCGGATGCCCACACTCTCCCGACCCCTCATTCCCTCCACCCCAAGTCTTCTCGTCCTTGCAACCACCTCCGGCCACGATAGGCTGGCCGCAACGGGCCTCACCATCCGGCGACTGGGCATCATCCGGAGCCGGAGTGTGCGGGGACCCAAGGGGGCGGAGATCCGCTGCGTTCTGGGTGTGGGTGCCTTGGGCCAGCGACTCGAAGGCATGGCCTAGGCGGCTCAAAGAGGGACTGCCGGCCCGGCCTTTGTCGCCAGCGCAAAACCCCTCGGGACAGGTGGAGGCGGGCCCCGGCCAAGGCAGTGTCTCGGGAGGCCGGAACTCTGAGTGGCACGCCCAGGGCCATGGGGCGGGAGAGCTGGTGCGGCCGTCCTCTTGGCAGTACCAGGCGGCGGAGCCCTGGTGCGCGACCCCCAGCTCCCCCGCGCTCCGGAGCAGCGCCGCGCCGGGGCCCTGCATGCGCCCCTCGCGGCGCACGCCCTCCCAGCGCGCGAGAGCCCGCCTCCCCTCTGCGCACCGCCTCCTCTCAGGGGAGCAGGGCCCTCGGTTCCGAGGCCCTGCCCCCTGTTTGCTGTCGCCCTGGAAACCATTCCCCTGGCACAATCAAGCCTCTGGTAGGGGGTTCGAGTGCTCCCTCCTGCGGACTGAAATCCCGACCGCTAAGTGGGGTACCGAAGGGGGAAGCGCAGAGCACTGCGCTGCCAGTTAATTTCAGTGTTGTGGTTCCTGTGGCTTGAGTCATTCCACAGTATGGAGAGCAACCGTGCTAGGCAGTGGGCTAGGTGCTGGAGACTGGAAGAAGCTAGAGATGATCCCTGACCTCATGGATCTTACAGCCCAGTGGAGGGGAAACAAAAAAGCAAGCAACAAAGGAATAAAACAGCTGTAGGTATGGTAAGGGCAATGAACAAGCAGCAAACTGAAACCAAGAAGGGGACATACGTTAGACAAGAAAAAGATATCCTTAAGAGGTGACATTCAAGCTGAAGCCTATGCAAAGGACGTCAGGAGTCGGCTAGGGAAGAGGGGTAGGAATAGCATCCCAAACAGGAAAGTCTCAGCAACACCCCTGACAGAGGTAAGAATCTTTCCCTGGAACTAAAAGGTAGCCAGTGTGGCTGTAGCCTGGTGAGGTTGGACCAGATGTACAGGGCGTGGCGGATGGGCCTAGGGTAAGGTCCTTGGGGATTGATCTGAAAACCAGGGCAGTATATGAGGAAAACAATGAGAAAGTAGAGTGCAGCACAATCCCCCCGCCCTCAATAACTTGGAAATAGAAAAACAGATAATCATTTTGAGTCAACCGCACAAAAAATATAATAGAACAGTTAGGCGCAGCCCTCAGGACTGTAAAAACTGTATGTAAGTAACCTTTTTGGAGGTTACTACTTTTTGGAGGTAGTGGCAAAGTATGATCCTCCGAAGTCATAAGTAATATAATCAAGGCTCCAAAATGTTACTTTGCCTAAAATCACACAGCAGAGCCAGCAGTGGAACGCAGGTCTAACCGCAAAATCCCACTCTTCAACATAAACATTATTTAACCTTAGTACACAGTTATCACTTAGATGGATTACCTATTAGTCATGGATGTACTGAAGGAGCAATTTGAGGTGCAAATTCCAGCAGTGATCATTCAAGCAGAGTGCAGGGAAGAGAGTACTCTGGTCCAAAAACCCAGCTTTGTTAGCAGGGTAGATCTGCCGGTACAGTGAAGGTGGGTCCTCAACCTCACCGTCCAGCCAATCTCTACCTGAGATCACTCTTCTCACCCCCCCTTGGTTGGAGCCTGGACTTCCCAAAAGGCATGCCCCCAGAAGAGGGCAGGCTGATTGGCAACCATCCAGTCTGTTCTTTCCCATCAGCCTGCAAATCTGGTTTTAGGGCCTCTGGATCCTGGGAGATGGATCTATGACAAACGGCTGGCTCACCTAGGCAATGCCGTCCTGGGAGTGTTGAGCGAGCAGCTGCCATACTCTCTTGAACCTCCAGCTTCACTGTGAGCACCTTTAACATTCACTGCAAAGCTAAAACATAGCTATGTGCCCCAGGGGGCACACCTAATTCTGTAAGACAGGAGGAGGAGGCCACAGAGATAATGTCATAAAGGGGATGATAGCTGTCCAAGTTGCCCCCACCCCCAACCCCTCCTCCCTTTAACATGACCTTGTCCTCCACCTCAAGAGACTTTTTAGTGACCTGGAAAGCTTTTGAAAGCTCAGCTCAAAGGCTGAAAATTTTCCTGACACCCACTTCCATAAATATACCCCGCCCACCCTGTAGACTACCACAGAATCAGTTTGTAAATATGAAACACTTCAGTTGCACCTTCAGTTGAACACTTCAGTTCAACCTTCAACACTTCAGTTACACACCCAGCTTTCACTACCCACCCCCAAGTCTCTCCAAGACAGGGATAAGTTCACTCCCCCACCCCCCAAGCCTAGCCCAATGAAAATTATCAGTTTGGATACTGGGCTGGTAGAAAGATCAGCTGTTGTTTATTCAGTACCTATACCACAGGTACTGTGTCGGCCTATTTACATTATCTCCACTTTATAGATTAAGAAACTGAAGCACAGAATATAAGGAACTCACGCAAATTCAGCCTCAAGAGTCAGGACTTGAGCACAAGTGTTTGTTCTTAAGGATTCACCAAGGTCTAGTGCTGTCCAATAGAACTTTCTCCAATGATGGAAATGTTCTATGTATGTACTCTGACATGGTAGGAATTAGTCATTTGCAGTTATTGAGCACCTGAAATGTCTCTGGTGGGAATGAGGAAGTGAATTTTAAGCTTTATTTAACTTTAGTAATTTAAATAGCTTCATGTGGCTAGGGATGACAGAGGCAGAAGCCTTAGATTTGAAGTCTACCCTCTTGCTCACTAGCTGGGAGTTTTGGGGCAAGCTGCTACATCTCAAGGAACCGCAGTTTCTTTAGCCATATGGCATCATTATTTCTCTGAGGATACCTTTTAGCCCAAATGAGCTCATTACGTGAAAAGGACCAAAGCCTATAGGCACAGAGAGCAGTTTCAGAAATGAATGGTGCTTGGACGGTAATGGGGGTCTCTGGGTCGGGGCCCTTGGCACAGATAACATCAGAAACCAATCAGGAGACTACCTCTTATGGGGACCCCCAGGCCCAAGTACCAGCTACATGGTCTTGGGAAGAAAAAGCCCCACCGCCCCGCTCCTTTCATATACACAGTGCACAGACCTCATGCAGCCCCAAAGGGGCAAGAAGAGACTTTAATTAGGGGAGGAGGCGGGATCCACCAGAATAAGAAAAGGTACAGCGAGCGTGGGAGCAGAGGAGCCAGAGCAGGCGCAAGAGCCCCAGCTCAGGAAGCTCTGGAGGACTCACCCCTCCACCTCCAGCACAGGCACTGCACTGACAGACAAGGCAAAACAGCGGCCCCTCTCAGCTGGGAGGGCACAAAGTGGCCCCTGTGGCCAGAGGTGCCTGGTTTTCAGCGCCCAGCTCTGAGGCATGGCTGGTGGCCACCAGTTCAGCCCTTGTCCCCAGCCAGCACTGAGTGGCTATCTTCACACAGAGCTCAGGAAGCCAGCAGAGTCCCAACAACTTCTACTGGGCCTAAGGAGGCTCAGGAGTAAGAGGGCAAGGGAAAGGAAATGGAGTCTGAAACCTTCCTCCTTCCCTCCCTCTCTCCCCACCTGGGGCTTCTGGGGGGGGGGGAGGGAGGGGGGGAGACACACAATAGTCGCCTTCTGGCTCCAGGCCCGCCCAGACCCACAGCGACCAATATGGTACAATCACTGGGACCAGTCACAGCCACTGGAGGTGGAGGTTGTTTTGTTTAAAAAAAAAAAAAAGACAAAAAGGTTACAGTCTCCTACAAGCACAGAATTTAAATTTCAAGACGTTAAAAAAAATCTGTCCCAGCCCAGGGGACCGAACATCAGAAGCCAGCCTGACCAGGCACGTGTGGCCTTGGGGCAGGTCCACCGCTGCTTTGTTGCCCAGCTAGCAAGCATACCACCCACCTCCCGCATCGAATGCCCACCCCGACCCAGCACCCCCACCCTGCCGCCGCCGCCGCCGCTGTCGCCGCCGCCGCTCTGGGGAGTAACTCCAGGATGCCTTCGCAGAGACGCGGGGGAGTCTGAGGGGGAAGACCTTGAGATCCAGCCAGACGGTTTAAAACTGTCAAAAGAACCAAGAGGCGGTGAATGGTGATTATTACTGTATCCTGGCAGGCCTGCTCTGGGGAGGTAGGCTGATCTGAGAGCTGCCACTGTTCTCAGATTTCTGAGGGATAGGATGGGTCCCAGCACACCTTGTGGGCACCCTTTTTCTAATTCAGCCTGCGCTAAGCAGTGACCTTCAGGGCACCAGCCTTAAACCTAGCACCAGACAAGACAGAAAAATTAAGGGTGAAGTGGGCTTTTCCACAGCTCCCCTTAACCATGTCATGGAGGCTGCTACAAAGCTCTATCACAGTGCCTTGCTTGAACTGAGGTTGCCTTCTTTAGAGATGGGGGCTCACGAGCAAGGGCTTGGGGACTAGGGGGCCAAGAGCAGAAGGACCGAGGATCTGGTACTTTGTGTCAAGCTGTGGGTAGTTCTCCAACCGTAACAGGCCCTTGGAAATTTTTTCTGCCCTCAAGTATCCCCCATGGTGCCCAGAATAGCACCAGACAGTTTACAGATCAAAGACTGTGGACCAATGGCCCACAAACTGAACCCAACCTAATAATGAGTGCTGGCTGGTCCACAAAGTATTTAAAAAAATGTGAATTCACTGCCAACCTTGAAAATATAAGAGATGTCGCATACAAATCCAGATTTGGGGATTCTTTTGAAAAGCTGGAAGATGAAACTGTAACGGGCGGGAGCTCTGTGGTAGTGATCCTCTTCAGATGACGCATGTGCTTACCGGGTCCCCAATAGCCCACTTCACTCACATGCATTACCTCCCTGAGCCCTGCATGCACCTGAGTATGTGACCCCTGCCAAATGCTATGGTACTATCTTGATCTTTGATCTGAAAACCAAGTTCTAAGTCCCAGTTCCTCCTCTTACTGGCTGAGGGCCCCTGAGTAGGTGACTTGACTTCCAGAGCCCAGTTCACTCACCCATAAAATAGGGATAACACATGACTCAAAGATTGTTTCAAGGATTAAATGAGATATATAAATGTGCTTAGCTGTGTAATTACAGAAATGCAGTTACCATCTGAAACTAAGAGTGCACTATATGTTGGCTAATTGAATTTAAATTTTAAAAAAAGGAAAGAAATTCAGTAACCATAATTAAATGACTGGTGAATGAGCCAAGTATTAAATCAGGACAAGAACTATTTTCCTTTGCAGTTGAATGTAGAGGCCTCCTAGTGCCCTGGCCATAAAACTTTGGTGCTACAATACCTAGAAAGCTTACTATGTACCAGGTGATCTGCTCTGTATACATCTCCTCATTTAATACTCAACCATACTAAAAGATACTATTAATAGTCTTGTTTCACAGCTGAGGAAACTGAGGCTTCAAGAGATTCAGCAACATGCCCAAGTAGGCAGTGAAGCTGGACGCACGCACAGGTGGTATGACCCCATAGCCTGTGTGATTTGAACAAGCACGCTACCCTGCGTGCACAGTAAAGCTACTTTGTACACTGACTGCCCTCAGTATAATTAAAGCCCAGGGTAAGAAGGCGTAATTTCCATTTTTAGGAATCTGAGCTCCTTCTGGGCTGGATCTGTATGCACTGGTAGGAGTAAACACTAAATCTACTATCTAGGGATTATGGTTAACTCTAAGCAGAACATGTCAACAAACCAAAGATTGTTTGGAAGAAGAAGAAAAAAAAAAGAAGGCATGTCCTGAATATCTAAATAAGAACAACTGTGTCATCAGCTCATCAGTGTAAACAATTCCTCCTCTTCAGAGGACTGCAGTTGGGAACACAACCAACCAAAGAGGGATCCGGAGGACTGAAGCCATGAAAGTAATGGAAAACACGTCAAAAATATCATGACTTTAAGCCTGAGAAATAGATGCTGAAAACATTCAAATCTGGGGCGCCTGGGTGGCTCAGTCGTTAAGCGTCTGCCTTCGGCTCAGGTCATGA